TCAACGGTCTATGTTTTGCAATTTTAAGGTTTGTTTTTTGGGGTTTCAAGGGGCTTATTTAAGGTGTGATTATATATGTTTTTTTTGATTTTTGGGGCTTCTTCAGGGCTTATTTAAGGTTCGGTTTTGCATTTTAAGGTTTGATTGTTGGGGCTTTTGCGGGGGTCGTTTTTAAGGTTTGATTTTGCTCGTTAAGGGAAGTATTGAAGGATTGCTCATATATTTGAAGGTTTGATTTTTGGGGGGGCTTCTTTTTTTAGGGCTTGCGTTCAGTTTTGTTAAGGCTTTGCAAGGGTTTTTGCAGGGGATTTCAAGGCTTTTCAGAGTGTTTCGAGGGCCTTTCGGTCTTTTTTCTGGGGGTTTTAGGGTTTGGGGATTTTGGGGCTTAGGGTTTGGTTTAGGGTTTGCAGGGTGGTTCAAGGTTTCAGCGAACTCCGACTTACTACCACCCCAGGATACCTATTTAACCCTAAGCCCTGAGTCCCTATGAACTCGCCAGCTTCTGCACGACGAATCCCTTATCCCCATCTTGGCGCACTTGAGTGCCTCGGTCCTTTGCGGGCCCGAGGGCTTTTAGGCAGGGTTTTAGAGTTTGAGCTTTTTGATGGGGTTTAGGGTTTAGGGTTTAGGGTTTAGGGTTTAGGGTTTAGGGTTTAGGGTTCACTGTTTAGAGTTTAAGGTTCGGTTGCGGGTCCAGGGGTCTTCGGGGCTTCAGTCCGGTTTAGGGGCCTGGGGATGCCAACCCGGACGGGCTATTCTACCCTATTTTGGGGTTGATTATGGGAAATATAGGGCCTAATAGCCCTAAACCCTAAACCCTAAACCCTAATAGCCCGTCCTGGGATCGAAGCGAGGATTGAAGAAACCACCCTGGGCGAGAACGCCTTCTTCGGCGAGGATGTCGCGGGGAAAGAGCGCCTTGGCGGCTATTGGGGGTGGGGGGGGGGGGGACCCTAAACCCCTTAAAAACTCAAAACTCAAACCCTAAACCCTAAACCCTAAACCCTAAACCCTAAACCCTAAGCCCTAAACAAACCCTAAACCCTAAGCCCGAAGTCCGAAACCCTAAACCCTAAACCCTAAACCCTAAACCCTAAGCCGATTAGAATGTTTAAGGGGCCTTGTCTACCTTAATTTGTCTCATATTTGGAAGAGGGGGAGTCCTGATTGTGGGGCCCTCTTCTCACAAGGGAGCGGAACGAGCCTAACCCTAAACCCTAAACCCTAAACCCTAAACCCTAAACCCTAAACCCTAAACCCTAAACCCTAAACCCTAAACCCTAAACCCTAAAACCTAAATCAGACATCTACCTCGCCGGCGCGTGAAGCCTGCCCAAACGCGTCTCAGGCAACAGCCTCGATAGACGCCCAGGTTGCGATGTTCCCCCTTATGCTAAAAGTCCTCGATGGGTATTCTACTAGGGAGTACTTGAGTTTCTAGGATTGTTAGCATAAGGGAGAACATCCCAACACCTAGGGTTTGAGGGTGGCTTCTCTTGACTTTAAGAGCCCTTCCTGCGCCTTCCATTCCCGGAGGCTGCTGTCGCTCTTCCGGCCAGGTGAGCGGAAGGTGCCGAGCCAGGGATTCCTTTGGGTCTTCGGGGGCTTTAGTGCTGAAGGCCTTAGGGGGCTTAGGTGTTTAGGGGCGTAAGGGTTGCGTAAGGGTGTAGGGGTGTTTAGGGGCGTAAGGGTGTAAAGCTTTAGGGGTTTAACGGTTTAGGGGTTTAGGGCTTCAGGGTTTAGGGTTTAAGGACTTGGGCTTGATGTTTAATTGGCATTCGTGGAACTGGTTGGTGTTTAGGGTTTAGGTGAGTTGAGGATTGAGGTGTTGCGACCTTTCGCCTTTTAAGGCCAACCCCCTCCCCCCACCACAGCAAGAGTGCCTTAGGATTTTCGGGGTAGCGGCTGACATGACAGCGTCTTGGGGTTTTTTTCACTCAAAGAAAGCGGATTTAGGGTTCAGGGGTTGTGGTAGAGGGCGCGTGGCTTGGATGTCGCGTTTTGAGACCGCTGTTTGCTACTTCTTGGGCCTATCCATGAACAACTCAGGGTCTGGATTCGGAGAACCTAGAAACACCCTACCACATGGTGTTTAGGGCTTAGGTTTTAGGGTTTTCGGGCCATCCCCCCATCGCAAACCCCTTAAGCCTTAAGACCTGCAAACCCCGTCAACGCTATAAATTCATGAACCATGTGAACTTTACAAAAACCCCCAAAACCCCACGACCTACTGGAGGTTCAAGGGTACTTATAAGCAGGCTTCTAGGTGGGGTAGTTACAGTTACAGTTGGTTGTGGCCCTATCTAGGGTGCTTACGACCCCATTTACCCCTGAACCTCCAATCTTGAGCAAGGAAGCCCTTACACTAGCCAGGTAGGCCTTTGACAGGGCCTCAGGAACGCTAAATCGTGACATGTGATCTTTCCGTTAGGGTGTGTTTCGTTTGTAGGTTGTTTCTGCTTGGGAGTTTTTAAGGGAGTGGAGCAGTCGATGGTGCTTCAGTTCGAAGGTTTGGGTGCTTTGTTTAGGGTTTACGGGCAAAGGGGCTTAGGGGTCTTGCACTTTTGTGTGTGTGGGATTGTATATAGGAATGTGCACTTCGTCAGCTGCCGGTCCATACCTGTAGCCATGGAGCAGCCGAGGTGTAGGGGCTTGTAGTTGAAGTTGACTTTCGGTTCCCGGAACACTCAGAGGGGACCCTGAACCCCAAACACCCTGGACCCTAAAGCCCTAGTTAAATTCTTACATCTACACCCAAAAGCCCGAACCCGAAGCTCAATCCCCTTAAGCCCTTCAACCCCAATAGTGCAGGAAAATGTTTGAGAGCCCCGGCTCCAGGAGCTCGGTTGTTTTGCTCGCATTTAGGGGCTTAGGGTTTTAGGTTTAGGGTTTACTTGGGACCCTATTTACCTACAGTTTTAAGAGGTAGCTCTTAACACTGTAGGTAAAAAAGGGTCCCAGGTAGGGGGGCTTCGGGACCCCATGGCTCTGTCCCTCGCCGGCCCTGGCTGCGCGGACGCATACCGCGCCTGTGAGCAGCGTGGCGACTGGCGCGGGGCGTTGCAGCTGTTGCGGGGATGCCAAGAGAGCATGGCATGGCCAGACAAGGACCGCCAGAAGCCCTAAACCCTCTAAGCTGCTGTAGATACCGTGGTTGAACAGGGCTTCCGGAACCCTGCTACGGCTCCGCTACCCACCTCAACCCATCCATCAAAGGCCCCCCCCCTCCCCGTCAATCCCCAAGCCCACCCAAACCCTAAACTCTAAAGCGGAAAACTCAGACCCAAAACCCGAAGCCCTCAACCATAGCCAAAACCCGGAAGCCCCCATTTCATCCGCTGAAGCCTCAACCCTCAACCCTCAACCCTCAACCCTCAACCCTCAACCCTCAACCCTCAACCCTCAACCCTCAACCCTCAACCCTCAACCCTCAACCCTCAACCCTCAACCCTCAACCCTCAACCCGCAGCTCCGTCAGGTGAGCTTCAACCGCGCGATTAGCGCTTGTGGTCGGGCTCGGGGGTGGCAGTGGTCGGTGCGGCTGCTGCTGGACATCAGTGCCTTGGGTGGTTTAGGGTTTAGGGTTTAGGGATTGGGGTTTTGGGATTGGGGTTTAGTTTGGGGCTTAGGATTGGGGTTTGGGGTTTGGGGCTTAGGGCTTAGGGCTTTATGCACCCTCACAAATCGAGGTTGTGGGACCTAGGCTCTTAAGGTCTTTTTGACCTTTAGGGTGTTAGGACCCTAAACCCTAAACCCTAAACCCTAAACCCTAAACCCTAAACCCTAAACCCTAAACCCTAAACCCTAAACCCTAAACCCTAAACCCTAAACCCTAAACCCTAAACCCTAAACCCTAAACCCTAAACCCTAAACCCTAAACCCTAAACCCTAAACCCTAAACCCTAAACCCTAAACCCTATGTCGATGGGGCTTGAAAGGTTTGGTGTTTGGGGAGAGGGTGGGCAGGGGCCAGCTGGTAGACCGGGGGCTGTCAAGAAAGCCCTAAACCCGAAACCCGAAACCCTAAACCCTAAACCCTAAACCCGAAACCCTAAACCCGAAACCCTAAACCCTAAACCCTAAACCCGAAACCCTAAACCCTAAACCCTAAACCCTAAACCCAGGATCCTGGCAGCTTCAGCCCGACGTCTTCGGCTACAACCGGGCCATCAGCGCCTGCGAAAAGGCCGGACAGTGGCAGTTTGCCCTCCAGCTCCTGCAGCACGCCGCAGTCAACAGGGTGGTCCCTGATGTGCTCCTTGGGTGGCACATGGGTTTAGGGTTTAGGGTTTCGGGTTTCGGGTTTAGGGTTTCGGGTTTAGGGTTTAGGGTTTAGGGTTTAGGGTGTAGGGCATGGGGGTGTAACTAGGGAGACCCCTTTAAAGAGACCCCCAAAGAGTAGGGACTCCCCCATCATTAAGGACACCCAAAAGGTACATCCCAATTTCGGAAGCACCCCACCTCTTCTCCCCATTTTCGAGGGGTTGGGTCCCCGCGTGAGCCCCATGAAGCGACAAGAATTTCATTCACTTTGAACTCCTATAGAGGGCTCTGGAACTTAGGATCAGCTACAACAGCACCATCAGCGCCTGTGAAAAGGGGGCTGCCTGGCAAGCCGCCCTCGGCCTGCTTGCAGGCATGGGTTCTGCAAGGCTCGTCCCCGACGTCATCAGCTACAGCAGCGCTGTCACTTACTGTCGGTTAGCAGGGAATGGGGGGAAGTAGGACCCTATATATACCCTCTAAGGGACCCTGTATGTACGCTGTAAGGGATTACTCATTCCTTAAAACCTAAACCCGAAACCCTAAACCCTAAACCTCCACTAACCAACAGTGAGGTCAGTGCCTGCGAGAAGGGGGGCCAGTGGGAGATGGGCCTCAGCCTCCTTGCGTCCATGCGCGCAAGCAGGGTTGCTCCCAACCTGATCAGCTACAACAGCGCCATCAGCGCGTGCGCCAAGGGCGGCGCCTGGGCCGTGGCCATCGAGATGTTGAGGTCCATGCTGGTTGACCAGGCTCGCCGGGGTTGATGTGGATAAAGACGGACCAAGTTTTAAAAGCCAGTGGCCCAAAATTCAAGGTCTAGAGTCTAGACCCAATATGGCCCAGAGAGCTTTCTCAGAATCTTTATACTCCCCCCCCCCCAAACACAACAATGACAACAGAGGATTAAACCCACCGCAGGTGCCTGACATCATCAGCTACAGTGGTGTCATCAGCGCCTCCGAGCGAAGTGGCCAGTGGCCGGTGGCCATTAGCCTCATGGCCGACGCGGTTCTGGCAAAGCTTCTTGGCAGCCCGGTGGTGCCCTTCTGCGCTTTCTTGGGGGTCAAGGTTCCCTTAAACCCTCAACCCTCAACCCTCAACCCTCAACCCTCAACCCTAAACCCTAAACCCTAAACCCTAAACCCTAAACCCTAAACCCTAACTCGTAAACCCCGAAAACCAGCGGCAAAGGGTACCCTTATCATCATTGGGTTGCTGGGCTACCAAGGCTTTCCTTGGACGTAATCTGCTACAGCAGTGCGATCCTTGGGTCGGCTTAGAGACAACTCCGTTGCCTCTTTATTGTGGGTTGGTTTCAGGGTTTAGGGTTTAGGGTTTAGGGTTTAGGGTTTAGGGTTTAGGCTCATACTCACGCCCAATTGGGAACACCCCTGAATCCTAAGCCCTAACCCTGTAAGATACTGAGTAGATCGGTGAGTAGGGGTGCAGGCAATGCATCCTTTTAGGGTTTAGTTGGTGTTTAGGCTTCATAGGGTTTAGGGGTTATAGGGGTTTAAGGCCCTAACCCCCCTAACTCCAGACCCCCCAAGTCCCAAGAATTTGTCCAGGATTAGTGTCTGCGAGAAGAACGGGCAGTGGGCGTATGCTCTTAACATCTTGAGTGCCATGCGGGCGTCCACGGTCTGGCCCAACGTGCTTCTGGGGTGTTGATCGTAGCATTATGTTTCTGGTCACTGTTTGTCTTAGTATGGTACGTAGGGAGCCTGGGGACCCTGAACCTTAAGCCCTAGACCCTAAAGACCCTAAACCCTACACCCTAGTAATTTATTCTGTAGTTCAGTCTCCAAGTGGATGCTTCGAGACCATCCGAGTGGCTGTTTGCATAAACCCTACACCCTAAACCTTAAACCCCGACTTGTTTTCCTCTTTCTTTGGTGGCGGGGGGCGAAGTCTTACTCGGTCCTTCATCCCTCCTGTAGGACCTTAAGCCCTATACACTACCCTAAACCCTAAACCCTAAACCCTAAACCCTAAACCCTAAACCCCTAACCCCACACCCCACAGCCTACACCCTACATCCTACACCCTAAACCCTAAAACCTAAACCCCTAAACCCCTAAACCCTAGACCCTGAACCCTAAACCCTTGCCCGACTCTTCAGGGTCAGCTACAGCAGCGCCATCAGCGCCTGCGAGAAGGGGGGCGAGTGGGCCGCTGCCCTGGGCCTGCTCCTTCGAGTCTTTTGGGGGTTTAGGGTTTAGGGTTTAGGGTTTCGGGTTTCGGGTTTCGGGTTGAGTAGGGCCTTTTGCAGCCGAATTTTCTTGGCGCATGCTTCTGGGTTTAGGGTTTGGGTTTTAGGCAGTTTGGGGGTTCAGGGGGTTATGGGATACGTTTTGTTTTTTGTGCACTCCTCCGCTCCCATCTTTGCCAAGAGCCCGGAGACCTAAAACCCTAAAGCCATGAACTCCTGATCCCCCAATATGCTAGACCCTAAACCCCTAAACCCTAAACCTTAAAATCCCTCAACTCCCAAAACCCCTAGAGACGAGAGCAATATGGCGGTTTCCAAAAAATCGGGTACCCTTTTCTGGGGCTTCCTACAAGAAAGGATGAGCATTCTCGTATTTTGGTGGCCTATTCGCGGTTCCCATAAGGGTTTAGAGTTTAGGGTTTAAGGTTCCACTTAGGGTTATTATTTCAAGAACCCTAAACCCTAAACCCTAAACCCTAAACCCTAAACCCTAAACCCTGAACCCTGAACCCTGAATGCCCATATGCCAAGCCCCAGGCTCTCAACCATGCACGATGCCAATCTGGTGCCCGACGTCATCTGCTACAACAGCGCCCTCAGCGCACTCGCATCTCGCCCTAGAGTGCAGAAGCGAGAATGGCCAGGCCCTAGACCTAGACGCTAAGCCCTAAACCCTAAGCCCTAAACCCTAAACCCTAAACCCTAAACCCTGAACCCAGATGATAAGGGGCATGTCGTGTGATATTTTGGACTGCGCCCCGCTGGTGTGTGAGAACGTCGACCATCTGATGGTGTTCGATGCATTCCCGATCCAAGATTCCTCGGCAGACTGTGAGTTCTTAAGGCCCTCCCTAAACTAAACCCTAAACCCTAGAAAGCCTATAAACCCAATACTCCCCTGGCCCTACACCCGAAAAGCCCATAAACCCTGTTGAGCCCGATCAGCCCTATCCCCTACATCCCGAGACCCTAAACCCCAGAAACCCGTCTGGGCAGCTGAGGAGAAGGACGGCAGATGGGAATTGGGACTTCATCTGTTCGAATCCCTTGCTGCCCAGAGGCTCAGACCCAGCATCTTAACTGCGGTTTAGGGGTTTAGGGTGGGTTTGGGGGTTCAGGGTTTCGAGTAGGGTTTAGGTCTTTCGGGCCAGGGCTTTATGGGGGGTTCATGGGTTTTGGGGCTTCAGTGGGTGGATGGGCTGAGAAGTTTACGGTGTAGGTGTTTATTTAGTTTAGGGTCGAGGGATGTTGAATCAGAGGCTTGCGGAAGGGTGCGCGAAAGGGCGAGGGATTTAGGGTCCAGGGTTTATCGTGGATACAACCTTACGCTTCGCTTTCCTGTAACTAAACGAAGTACACCATTATAACTACTGCAAACATTACGGGCGCTATCTTTCTTTCTTCTTCTATGGTCTTGGCCGCCGAAGCTCTTTTCCCTGATCGTATTTGTTGTTGAACTGCTGGATCTCGTCGTAGTAGCTCTATACCCTGATCACAAGATGGCCGAGTCTCAAGATTGCACCCTAAGCCCCAGATACAGGAGCTCGCACACGAATTCTATGTTTTATCTGGGCGAGAGAGGCTTGGAGGTACAACTTAAGCACAAGACAAGAGTGAAGGACGCACCAAACCCTGAACCCTAAACCCTAAACTTGGCCAATGCCAGGAGGTCCGGTATAAAACCTGTGCGGGAAAAAAATCGACAGTACCGTACCCGGGTCAAAGAAGGAACGGAGCGCTGGTTGGCGGCCGCAAGTGGCTGACGGTCACTAGCAAGTGTGCTTGCTCAGGCTGCGCGTATTCTCAGGTCTGAAATCGGAGGAACATGCCGCCGCAACTTTCCGAGCGTGTGCTTGGCAAGCCTGTTCACATGAACTTTATTTTGCTTGTGCAGAAGGTAGACAGCCAAACAACACAAACATAGCATGGCAAACTCCCACTGGTAGGGTCAGAGAAGTAGGCAGCTGTGGCCTCCTCCAACACTACAAGAAACGCGAAATTTGAACGCAAAAAGCGTAAGATTCTCGTTTAAATGCAAGCTCGGAGACGGACTTTGTTTTGCCCAGGGGCGTCCCCGAAAACCATCGTCTGGCGAGATTTTGATGTTGATGCGGTGGGTCTTTGGCACTACTCTGAGCCCGGCATGCTCGGTTGAGACAGCTAAGCCCCAATGAGCCAGATAGCAAGTTGAAGAAGGGACCGTCCTTTTTCTGGGTGGGTGTCCGTTTCCTAATTTGTCCTGCTCGGCTCGGTCTTCTTCTTGATGAAAATAGGGGCCGTCGGGATAATGGTGGAAGCTTGGGTCCTCAAATATTCAGATCTGCGTACTGCTGTACTTCGCAGCCTTCCTCTAGGGACCAGAAATGCGGCAAAACACAAATCTTGGCCCTGCACAGCCTGACACCTCACACCCAATGTTCCCCGGCATTACAGCCTAAACCCTAAACCCTAAACCCTAAACCCAAAACCCAAAACCCTAAAACCCTAAAACCCTAAACCATAAACCCTAAGCACACCAAACCGCAAGAATCAACGAATCTTCGAGGCATCCTAAGCTTCAACGCGGCCGTGGGGGCGTGCCAGCGAGCGGGCCAGTGGCAGGCCAGAGGGTTTTTAGAGTTGAGGGATTATGCGCTTTTCAGGGTTTATGGTTTAGGGTTTAGGGTTTAGGGATTTTGTTGAAGGTTGCTTTTGGGTTGAGGGCTTTGGGGGTTTTGGGGTTTAAGGTTCTTAGGGCCGCTCCACCTCGTGGCGAGCAAAAGAGGCGGTGCTGGACTTGCTCGGGCACATGGCGAAAACAGCAGTGGCGCCGGTTTCTCGGCGTTCCTGGATATTTTTGTGGGAAGACGTAAGTCAGAAGTAGAGTTCAGGGTTGCAGGCAAAACCCTGGCACTCTGAAGCCCTCACACCCTCGGAAACATGACTTTCTGCCCTACAACCCTGAACCCCACACCCCAGTACCCTCAGGCCGAATCCCCCCAAAATGCGAACCAACCCTAACAGTTCAACCCTTCGAACCCTAAACCTCAAATCCCTAAACCCTAAACCCTAAACCCTAGACCGCACCAAGGATATCCTGACCCACCACAGCGCACTGGCCGCGCTTGTGCGGGGGCAGCAGCACTGCGCTGCCGCGAGGCTTCTGCCCCTGGGCCTCAGAACTGTCGCTTTGGGGTTTAGGGTGGTTTAGGGTTCATGGCTTAAGGCTACGGGTTTGGGGGTTTAGGGTTTGAATTTTAGGGTTTAGGGTTTAGGTTTGTTTGGGGGGTTTGGGGATTTGAGGGTACCAGTTTTCTCCGGGTTTAGGGAGGGTGTTGAGGGATTGATTATAAGGGCTCGTGTTTAAGTGCAAGCTCGCGAAAGCCCCTAAACCCTAAACCGTTGCACACATGCTCCAGACTCCTAATGTGAATGAAGGGAAGCCGTAAGCCCTAAACCCTAGACCGTCGGGACCTTAATCCCCTTAATCCAAAAACACAAGTTCCTTCAAACCCTGACGCTAAACCCTGAACTGTGAACCCTAAACCCTAAACCCTAAACCCCGAAACTGAGGTCCAGGGTCAAACAGTTCATCTCGAAGAGCTGGAGATGAATCGGGGGCTGAGAGCCTGAGCCGAAGGGCTGGCATTGCGAGCAGGGCACTCTGCTGAAGAGGAACACATATTGTGGTGAGTTCGCTGGTCCCTGTTTGGGTACCCTAAAGAAGAGGGCCCGCCTTGTAATCAGGACCCCAAAAGAAACAGTATGTTAGAGAAGATATGTGTAGGAATATCACATACACATGTTCGTGTCTATATGTGTGCACATGCATGTCTGTATACATGTGTATATAAATATATATATATATATATTTGTATGTAGGGAAACATATTTACTCCCCATGGTTAGTGGTTGTACATGTTGGTCATGTTGACCCCCAAATAGGTTCATGTTGAGCAGCCCTGAAATGCAAGCTCGAAGGCAAACCCCAAAGGGTTTCAATTCGAGGAGATTGTTTGTGGAAAAAGCGTGTGGTGCTCCAGGCTTTGGGGAACAGGGTGTCTACCCGGAGGACGGAGGATTAAAACGCCCGAAGCCCTAGACCGCTGAAACTCGGGCCCTGTGCCAGAATACAGCTGGGATTCCCTTTAGTATACCTGGTGGGGTATGGGTATGGGGATAAGGATGTTCCAACTTTTGGGAGTTTGCTGTACACTAATTTATATCACATGTGACATGTGTCTTAAATTCCTGGCGACCTGAAAAACGTAACAAAGCCTAAGCACCCCAGCACCCTAAAAACCCGAACGCCTTGGTGTGCAGAGTCTTTGTACAGTCCTCTCACTCTCAAGGGTAGTTTCAATGGTCCGTAGTATGGTCCCTTACCTCCAGCGGGGCCCCACAGCCCAGAGCCTCACCCAAACCCCAACGCCTTTAGGGTTACTTCCCTGATCCCTCAAAGTCAGGCAGCCCCAGCCGATGGTTTAGGGTTTGGGTCTAAGGTTTAGGGTTTAGGGTTTAGGGTTTAGGGTTTAGGGTCCCCTGTCCTCCCGCCAGGCTCTATCTGCTGCGATGGCCGAGGCCACTGCGGTCGACTCCGCCGTGGCGACGCTGGGTGGCGTTCATGGGTTTAGGGTTTAGGGTTTAGGGTTTAGGGTCTAGGGTTCAGGGTTTAGGGTTTAGGGTGTAGGGTTTAGGGTTTAGGGTTAGGGTTTAGGCTTACAGGGTTTAGGGTTTAGAGTTCAGGATTTTTAGGGTTTAGGGTTAGGGTCAGGGTTCAGGGAACTCCAGAACCAAAGCCTATACCCTCAACGGGCTGCGCGCGTTGAGGATTCAAAGGTCCTGGTGGCTTTGAGGGCGTTGAGGACTGTTAGCGGTTTAGTGGTTGCAGTTCGAGTTTGGGTTCGTTTCGGGTTTAGGGTTGTGGGTTTGGGGTCTAGGGTTTAGGGGTTTGTTGTTTACGGCTTGCAGGGTGTGAGGAGTTTACATACAGAGGCAGGGGGGCGTGGGGGTGGTTTCAGGTGTTTAGGGCCTAAGAGTTGGGATGTTCCCCCTTATACTACCAGTCCTTAACACGGATTATACAGGGGGTACTATGATCCCTTGCCAAGGTTGATGGGCAAGCTGACAGTTGCCTTGCACTAGGAAGAACAGAAAGCTATGATCCCCATTAAGGACTGTTGGTATAAGGGGGAACATCCCCAACCTAAGAGGGTTTTGGGGTGCCCTCTCAGGGTCCCGGAATGCCCTCTTTGTCAAGTCTCCTGTGATGCCGAGGCTGGAGGCGGAGGTCGGGCAAGGACGCAGGGCAGCAGAACAGAGTTTGATAGCTCAGGTTAGTTATACATATATGTGTGTATAACATATATATATATATACACGTATATCATAAAGCAAGTAACAAGAATACTATGTCGTTCTTGCATTGTTATTGTTATTGTTGCCAGTGTACATATTCCGCCGTTTCGTCTCCGTTTCCTGGGCGGTCTCTATACTCTGTAGGGTTTAAGACCTAAAGCCCACACGGCACCCGAAACCCCCGAGAGAGGGATAGACACCGACAGGCATGCAGACGCGCAAGCACGCAGGCAAACACACACACACACACAAACATAGAGCCATCCTCCCTCCCAAGCCTTATATCGTACACCCTACATCCTTCAAGACCTAAGCCCCAAACCCCAA